GTCAATTGGTTTATGTTTGGTAAATATTAAAATTAGATTTTTAGTAAATTTTGATAAAAGTTGATAAAATGTGTTGTTGAAAAGTTGTGGGTTCCATATATGTGCTTAAAATTAATTGTTGACTTTGATTTGAATGTTTAATTGAATTTTAATCCAAACCAAACAGAGGCTTGATCTGTTCATCATGCAAACGTTAAGATCTTTTTGCACTTCAAGATTCATAATTTTTTTTTAAAGAGTTTAGTGGGAGAATAGTCGGAAAGTGATTAGTCAGTAGAGTTAGCCCATATTTGCTTTTGTTAAAAATTAATTTTTTAGTGGATTTTGATAAAAGTTAATGAGACGTGCTCTTAAAAAGTTGATAAAAAATGTGAATCTCAAGAAATGTATGATTGAAAATGAGTTTGATGAAGAACGAGGGTCAAATAGGGACTTAGTGTCCGTATGTGTAACCCCTTTTCGGTTTAACGAAAAAATTGATCAAAATCTTAGTTAAAGTTAACAATATATTTCATGAGATCCACAATATTTTTAAGTTTCTAATTATACATTTTATAATTTTTTATTAAAATTTACTTAAATTTTTTATTTTTAACTAAATTGGAAATAGATTGTAGGATGACATGGTCAAATGTCATTTTCTAAGCACTTCTCTCCGTCTTTAAGGATGGATAAAAAAAAACTCAAAAAATTCGATACATGCGAGGCCCAGGCACGAATGGGGCGGGGATTATCGGCTTAATAGGGCATTCGGGTCGGGGACGGGGCGAGTACGGGTAACGGGTGCCCCGCCCTTTTAGGATTCAATACTTTGAATTGAAATTTTTACGAAATTTCATTAATTCTAATAGAAAATGACAACTAAAATTATCTAAAAAAATATGACAAATAATAAAAGTCTTAATTTATCAAATATATTTGCTTTTAAAAATAAATAAAAAATATATTATTGTCTCATTTTAATAAATGGAAACAATAAAATAAATTATCAGAAACTTTATAAAAAAATTAAGGGTGTGTTTGAATCTAATTTTAAGGAGAATAGAAATTTTGAAATAGTGATTGATGTGAGAATGTGTGGTGGAAAAGTGATGAAAAGTTTTTGATTTGTGTGTAATATTATTTTATTTGGAGAATGTGTGGTTGAAATGAAGAATGGGAATGAGAATGAGAAATTAATGGGTGCCANAATAGTGATTGATGTGAGAATGTGTCGTGGAAAAGTGATGAATTTTTTTTATTTGTATGTAATATTATTTTATTTGGAGAATATGTGGTTGAAATGAAAAACGAAAATGAAAATAAAAATAAAAAATTAACGGGTGTCAAACGGGGGCTAAATGGGGCAAGGGCTCTACCCTTCCCTATCCCACCTTATCTTAAATGGGTAATGGGGTGGGTAAGGGACCGAAAATTACCCGGCGGGTAGAGGGGCCGGGGAGGTTAATCTGCCTCTCCCCACCTTGTCACGTTGTCATTCCTGTCTATCTTTGCCATCTGCAGAGAGACAAATTGTTCCCTGTACATTTTTTTTCAACCCGTGACAAGGAGAAATGATTAAAACCCGACTTGCCTTATTGGAATGGAATATTGTTCAATAGATTGAGTTTAGAATCGTTACTTTTGTCGGATTCCGTAATCTTACTTACCACAGCCAAAAACTAGGCATTACATAGGAGTGGATTGTATAGTCTTGTTTGACAATTATTATTTGGATAAAATGAAATTTTAAATAATAATTTTTTTAAAAAAAATGTGTGGTTAAAAAGTATTTAAAAAATTGAATTTACGTACAAAATATTTTATTGTATGAATGCGTAGTTACAATAATAACATGTGACCGGGACTGATCGTGAAATTTTAGGGAACTTAAGCTAACTTCAAATGAGTCCCATGAAAATATTTTTAAAATATAAAAATAATAAAAAATTATTTTTTATTTAAATAAGAAATTCAAACATAAAAAATAATAATTTCAAATGTCTAAATTCATTTTTTTAGAATTTTATGATAAAATCAATAATTATATTATTACAATCAATTTATTTTAGAACTTTTTTTCAATAGACTCCATAACCAATCTATTCAACATTTTTTTGTGAAATTATTGACAAACGGTAGGATTTTATCAAATTCAACTTTTAGAAGCTCCTCTCGATATATGTGAGTGTAACTTGTATAATCATTAATATTCTATGAACAATCTATACAATTGGAAAACAACATTCCATCATTTTTATATAGTATAACACTTCAATCGACTTTTTCAGCTCTTCTTGTCAGGGGCGGACCCACATGGGGTCATGTGGGGTCAAATGACCCCACAAAAAAAATTTGAGTTTTTTTTTTTTTTAACCTAACACTTAGCCCATTTGAAAAATACCAAGTAGTCC